ATTAAGGGAATTGGCTTCAGTTTACTTGAATGAAAAAGATTAGCTAATCTACATGAAGTAAATGAGGGTTGAAAAGACAAAGGGCAAAAAATCACTTCAAGTGAATATTAATAGCAGGGTATTTGGGGATCAGCACAGCTGAAGTTTCCTAAGCATTCTGCCGGTATTATAGGCACACCTTGTTTTATTGCACTTTGATTTATTGTGCCTCACAGATGTTGCATTTTTTTTACAAAGTGAAGGCAAGGCTCTTTACCAGCAAAAAAATTTTGACTCGCTGTATTGCGATACTTACTTTATTTTAGTGGTCTGGAACTGAACCTGTAATATCTCCAAGGCATGCCTGTACTCTATTAAAACAAAACAAAACAAAAAACCCATTGATTTAATATCAGAGAAGTAGCCAAGGATATTATCTTCATTATTTTGCAGTTACACCTATGACCAACTGTCTCTTCTATGACAGTCAGTGTATGAATAGTTTCAAAAGCACGGTGACACTGAGAGATGCTGACAGGCAGAATACTGAGACAGGTGTGAAGGTGGGGATGGTGGCTAACACCATCATCAAAGATTGCCACTTTAAGTGACCATGAAAATTCTAGATAAGGATGGCAGCTGTTTATTGACTGATTCAAATTTTAAGAGTTCAAAGTAAATTCTATTATATATTTTTAGCAATTTTAGCTACTGTCTTTATTTTTTAAAATAGATTTATAGTTTTATCATTTATATTTATAAAAATATTGCAAAAATCATAAAAAAGAAAATAAATATTACTTGTAAAACCCAGAGTTAACCTCTGTTGGTATAATCCAACATTTATAAAAATTCCTTGTATGGTTTTTGAGTGCTGTCTGTGTCCCTCCCTATCCTTGCTCACCCTCTTGTGGCCATGATAGGAAGAAGCCAAGAACCAGGCAGAAAAAAAAAAAAAAAAAAAAAGCAAAAGGCCTGAATAATAAACTGATATGCTTGAAATCTATATGGGTCAGGGCCATGGCAAGAAATAGATGGAAGACTTGAAGGGGTGATTGTAATTTATCCCTTCATTAAACTTTGTTGGGAGTATGGGCAGTGGTAATGGAAACTGAAAGGGATGTCCTATTGATACCTCCTATTGGCTGAACCCAACTGGAAGCACCCAGAGGGCAAATGGACCAAGTGTTTGCAGTCCTTCAAGGTCCAGCCTTCCATGACACAAAGCAGAGTGAAGGATAGAAAGTGGATCTAGCTTGGCAAACAGAGCAAGTCTAGTACAAAATGTTTCTAAAATATTTCATTAAATTATAGTTTCTTTTATAAGGCATGAGTCTAAGGGCTACATTCTGGAATAACTCAACAATGAATATCTATGCAATTCCTATAGTCTACCTAAAACAAACGAACAAACATACAAACAAACAAAAAACAACAGATAACAGAATTTCACACTACCTCAAAATATTACTGAGCCTCCTCTTCTCCATCTAATGACTGTGGAGGTATAAGCCTGGCATTTGAGGGGTTCAAATCATTGGATGCTTTGGTATTAGAGTGACAATAAGGTATGGGAAAAAAGAGAAAGGCAGAAATGAGGATACAGAGAGCTCAGTTGCTGTTTGTTGCTGGTCCTCTTCCACCCTTTGCCCCACATAAGTGGACATGTGCCTAAGACACCAGCAAATCAGTCACCAATAATATGTAAAAGAAAATCTAGAAAATTTGGGTACGAAGGTATTTTTATTTCAGCATATTTGTAAATTTTGTATCATTTTAGAAAAGTGAAATTTTATTTCCTAGTTTAGCATAGTTTTGACGGTTGGTGGTGGTGGGGAGCGTTGTAGCACATGATGAACTTTTACAGCAGATCTGCTCCTTCCAAAGACCAAATGTGAAGGAATGGCTACCTCAAGACCAAAGGAATATACTCTGAGAGGCAGTTGCTGATGCTCAGGAGAATAAGTACCTACTTTATGCCAGGGGCTCAGAGTATTTGGCTCTTGTATCTATCTCTCTCTCTCTCTCTCTCTCTCTCTCTCTCTCTCTCTCTCTTTTCAATTTTTGTTACTCTCCCCTGAGAGGCTAACTTTAAGAGTGCACAGGGCAAAAACATTAATTTTCTTTGATAATCTTCAATAGGGATTTGTAGTAGAGAGGATAATAATATTTAAGGCCAACAGAAACCTTGGGCAAATCATTTCCCTTTTTGTCATCAAGAAAATGAAAGGAGTAGAGATTTCTGAAATCTTGGCTTAGCCCCCACGATCAACAGTGGCATGTTCCCCTGCCCCCAACGTTGCTATGCTCACTATAAAGCATTCAAAACAGGACGAACGGTATAGTGTCAGATAAATGTCCCCCAATTCTTTCCTTTTTCAACAGAGGCAACCCTTAGTAAATAGTGTATGTATTTTTCCAGCTATTTTCTGGGTTTAAAAAATTTTTTAAATTATTTTTTTATTATTAGTTTCAGGTGTATAGAATCATGCAATAGTTATCCTTTTCACTCCTCACAAAATGACAACCCCTCTCCCCCCATCCACTGTCCCCCCCCATGATATCATATATATCTATTACAATTCCATTGACCTCATTCCCACACTCTACTCCACATCCCGTGACTATATATCTATAAGATTATAGTTGACATACAATATTATTCAACATCAGCTTCAGATATACAGTGCAGTGGTCAGGCCTCTATACCATCTATGAAGTGGTCTCCCTAACAAGACAAGAGTCCATCTGGCCTCCTAAAAAATATTTACTACATTATTGATTATATTCCCCAGACTGTCTTTTCTATCCTTGAGGCCGTACTGTAGTTACCAATTTATATTGTCTCATCCCTTCCCCTTCATCTTCATCCCCACCCCCTCCCAGCTAGCATCCATCAGTTTTTTCCTCTGTGTCTCTGAGACTATTTCTGTTTACATTTCTAATTTATTCAGTTCTTTAGATTCCACATATAAGTGAGATCATATGGTATATGTCTTTCTCTGACTGACTTATTTCACTTAGCATAATGTTCTCTAGATCAATCCATATCATAGCAAATGGTATGATTTCCTTTTTCTTTATAGTTAATACTCCATTATGTAAATGTACCATAGTTTCTTAATCCAGTTGTTTACCGATGGGCATTTTGATTGTTTCCAAGTCTTGACTATTGTAAATAGCGCTGCAATGAACATGAGGGTGCATATATTTTTTCGAATTAGTGTCTTGGGTTTTTCTGGATAAATCCCTAAGAGTGGAATTGCTGGATCATAAGGTAGTTTCATTTCCAGTTTTTTGAGATACCTCCATACTGATTTCCATAGTGGCTGCACCAATCTGCAGTCCCACCAACAGTGCACCGGGGTTCCCTTTTCCCCACCACCCCGCCAGCACTGTTGTTTGTTGATTTATTGATGATAGCCATTCTGATAGGGGTAAGGTGGTATCTCATTGTGGTTTTTATTTGCATCTCTCTAATGATTAGTGAGGTTGAGCATTTTTTCACATGCCTGTTGGCCATCTGTATGTCCTTTTTAGAGAAATGTCTCTTCATATCCTCTGCCCATTTTTTAATTGGGTTGTTTGTTTTTTTGGTGTTGAGTTGCATGAGTGTTTTATAAATTTTGGATATTAACCCCTTATCAGATATATCATTGACAAATATCTTCTCCCATTCAGTAGGCTTCCTTTTTGTTTTATTGATGGTTTCCTTTGTTGTGCAAAAAACTTTTGAGTTTGATGTAGTCCCATATGTTCATTTTTTCTTTTACTTCCCTTGCCCGTGGGGATGTATCAGTAAAAATATTGCTCATGGTAATGTCTGCAAATTTAGTCCCTATATTTTCTTCTAGGAGTTGTATGGTTCCAGGTCTTACCTTTGTCTTTAATCCATTTTGAATTTGTTCTTGTATATGGCATAAGGAGGTGGTCCAGTTTTTCTTGCATGTGTCAGTCCAATTTTCCTAGCACCACTTATTAAATAGACTATCTTTACCCCAATGTAAATTCTTGCTTCCATTGTCATAGACTAACTGCCCATATATGCATGGATTTATTTCTGGGCTCTCTATTCTGTTCCATTGATCTATGTGCCTGTTTTTATGCCAGTACCATACTGTTTTGATTACTGTAGCGCTGTAGAACTTTTTAATGTCTGGTAGCATGATACTCCCGACTTTGTTCTTATTTCTCAGGATTGCTGTGGTTATTCAGGGTCTTTTATGGTTCCATATAAATTTTAGGATTATATTTTCTATTTCTGTGAAAAATGCCCTAGGTAGTTTGATAGGAATTGCATTGAATCTATATATTGTTTTAGGCAGTATGGACATTTTAACTATATTAATTCTTCCTATCCATGAGCATGGTAGGTGTTTCTATTTATTTGTATCTTCTTTTATTTCTTTCTTCAGTGTCTCATAATTTTCTGAGTACAGGTCTTTTACTTCTTTGGCTAATTTATTCCTAAGTATTTTATAGTTTTTGAAGCAATTGTAAATGGAACTGTTTTCTTAATTTCACCTTCTGATTGATAGTTTATTATTGGTATATATAAATGCAACTCATTTCTGGATATTGATTTTGTATCCTGCCACCTTATCGAATTTGTCAATCAGTTCCAATAGTTTTTTGATCCAGCTATTTTCTATGCAGAGATATCACCTCTTTTGAACACACAAACGGGGGTCTTTTCATCTCATAATTCTTGGAGAATCTCTGTTTTTTTAAACGCTCTCCTCTGGATCTCATTTGCAGACACTACTACACTAGTCCCTCTCAGTCTTATCATCTTTTACTCCCTGGAGGTCCTCTACCTCCGTGGTTGCCACAGCAACACACACACATCACTTTCGCTTTGCTGGAGGCCCCTATCACTTGACAGGCTCCTCAGACAGACTTCCAAACCCGAGCGCGGGGTACTTCCGCCTCATTTTCGGCTCGCAAGTTGATTGGCAGACGATTCCTATCCTCCGGTTTGAGCCAACAGCTCGCGCCAGAACCCGGCGAGCAGTGATGACGACACCGGCCGGAGGCGGTGGCAGAGCCTGGGAGATGGGGAGGGCTTCCGGGGCTGCCGGCCGAACCGCTGAGAGCTGCTGTCATGGCGGCTACTCTGTGGGGCTTCTTCTCCGCCCTTCTGCTGCTGCTGCTAGCAGGGGATGCCCAGAGCTCGGAGGTGCCCGGGGCTTCTGCCGAGGGGTCGGGAGGGGTGGGGGTGGGCACAGGAGATCGCTTCAAGATTGAAGGGCGTGCGGTTGTTCCAGGCGTGAAGCCCCAGGACTGGATCTCGGCGGCCCGAGTGCTGGTAGACGGAGAAGAGCACGTCGGCTTCCTCAAGTGAGCATCCTGAGGGCAGCGAGAGAGCGGTTGGGATGGGAGCCCGAGGGGACTCCCCCCTGGGACAGCTAAGTGTCAAGCCCTGACGGCGTCGTCGTCGGAGGGTGAAGGGGCGGGCGCCGCTAGCGGTCTGTGCGGGGAGACCTTGGGAGGCAGTCGGACGTTTTCCCTTCCCGGTGCCGTACCTCAGAAATGTGGAGAGCAGGTGCCCGCCCCAAGGCCGGAGCGGTGGGGTCAGTTATCTTACACTCCATTTTGGTCCTGTATGGGGACGACCACTCCTGGACCCTAGGGACGGCTGGACCCCTTATTTCTCTCTTGCTGAATTCTTCCCTTTGCATCTCATCTTGTTTCCCTGGAATCTGGTCGGTTTTTTTGCATTCATTTCAGTGTTTTGGTAGCTTGACGTTGTGTGGAAAGATGCTAAGCAAGTGGGAATTCTCAAATCCCAAAGGGCTTCTAATGATGACATAGATTGGGAGACTAATTTTACTGCTTCTAAAATTAATGCGCCCCGAAGTCCCTAATCTAAACATCTCTCCCTCGCTCCCCCCCCCCCCCGACCCAGGTGGGATTGTTCTTTTTTACACTTGAATTCATCGAGAGATTTGCAACATCTCACTTGGCTTTTATGTGAGACTAGAATTTTTCTGCGTTGCTTACATGCATCTGTTCTTTCTAGCTATTAGTAGAAATGGGATTTCAGCCTATATTAAAAGACGTGTTGAATTTATTAGCACTCTTGTTTTGCAGCAGCCTGCTTTTCAGATGTCTGGGCACAATTATGAGCTGTTTTAAGTCTTTCAATCGCTGCTTGCAAAGTGCAGCTGCGAACTGAAAGAAAATATTCAGGCAAGGAAGTGTTTCAGTAGTGGATTTGTACACCAGTAGGTGGTATCTGAAAACCAGATAGCTTAAATGTGGACATTTACTTCTAAATATGATTTGCAAATATTCAGATCAACCAGGTGCCTTTGAATGAGAATTTTAACAGATTAAAAATGACAAAAATTATTTTACAATAACTAAAGCCATTATTTTAATGCTAATTGTCATTAAAAATCTGGCATTAGGGCATTCTTTAGGGTTTACCCTAATTAATGATAAAGGTCTTGTTTAGCTTTGAAAAATTAACCCGAATTGAACATTTGACCTTGTTTTTCTCTTCTGCCATATACAATTCTTTTAAAAAGCATGTATTACTTTTATTTTAAAATAATATGTAAATAATATGTTTATTGGAGAAAATATAAATAAGAAAGTAGAGATAAGAACTTTTAACATTTTATTTTTTCCAGCCTTTTTGGAATCACATGATATATATATATATATATATATATATATATATATATATACACACACACACACACACACACACGTGTGCTTTATTATAAGGAAAATTTAAATATAACCAACAATACTGAAAATAATGTAACTGGCATTTACAGCCTTGGTCAGAGTTCTTTATTAAACAGGCCTATATTTTTAATAGTAAAATACAATATACAGTAGTTTGTAACCTTTTTTTGCTTAATATTTGTGAGCAGCTTCTGTTACCATTTTATATTCTTCTATTTGTGTATGAAAGGTTGATTAAGAATTAGTATAGGAGCTTATGGTGGCAAACTTGTTGGAAAAGGGTTAAGTAATTTGTCTTACACATTTTATGTATAACTAGCATGCAATTTTGACTTATATTTATGCTTATTGGAGGTGGCTTGGGACTTGGCTAATGGGGATGACAGTTTTTTTTTCCATTCTATTTTTATTTTTTATTATATTATGTGTCAGGTGTACAAAACAATATAATGAGTAGACATTTACACCCCTCACAAAGTCATAACCCCCCCACCAAGTCTACTACCCCTCTGACATTGTATATAGCTGTTACAGAACCATTGACTATATTCCCTATACTGTACCTTACATCCCGTGACCATATATGTACATGTGTGTATGTGTGTTTTTGTATATATATATATATACATATATATATATATATATATATATACAAAATACATACATAAACACATATATATATAATTATAGCTGATATTCAGTATTATTCTACTTCATCTTCGGGTGTACAGTGCAGTGGTCAGGGATGGAGATGAGAATTTTGACTGAGGACTTCCATGCCACTTCTTGCTTTTATCACCATGTATATAAACCATAATTTTTTTTAAAGATTTTATTGGGGAATTGGGGGAGGGGAACAGACAAGTTACTGTCCTTTTGTTCTTCAGTCTAGTTGTGGAGGACGTTGCTTCACTGGCCCATGTTGGTATTATCATTGCACTCTTCCTGAGTGAGGCTGATTGGTTGCTGGACACTGGACAGCCACTCACAGCGGCTCTTGGCAGCTCACACTGGCTGCCAGCCACTCATGCCGGCTGCCAGCCAGCCACGGTAGCTTATGACAGCCCACTGTGGCTTCACTGCAGCCTACACCATTGCCAGCGACTCATGGCAGCCCAGCTCCAGGTCGAGCTGTTGTTCACCATCTTAGCTGTAGAGGGTGCAGTGTCACTGGCCCTCATGTGGGAACCAAACCGGGGCCCTGCTGCTCAGAGCAGGTGTCCCAAGCCAACTCTTAACCAACGAGCCACTCAGCTGGCCCTATACAAACCATAATTTATTTAATCAGTCCTCTGTTTTGGGGGTATTTAGGTAGTTTTCAGTTTTGTGACATAATGAGATTCTGTACTATATTTTTTTTGAAGTTTTTATTATGAAAAATTACAGACATACACTAAAATAAACAACAGCTTAGTGAATCCTTAGGTACCCATCACAATTTACTGTTTTATTTCATGTCTCCTCTGCACTTCGTTTATTTTTTTTCTGGACAATTTAAAGATGATCTTAAACATAATATGATTTTACTTGTAAAAATTATTTTGTATTTCTAAAAGATAAAACCTTAAATAAATAACAATGCCATTTCTGATTCAACAAAATTAATAATGTTCCCTACTTTTCTTAACGTTTTTATGTAATTGTCCTTTCAAATCAGGAGCCAACCTTTAATAGTATAAAAGGCCTACATTTTGTAGTGTACATATTTAAAGCCAAGTTCAAAAATTTCATTATAATATTTTTGTGTTATATTTCTAAAGTAAAATATGTACCTTAGGATGAACAATCTCTTTGTTTTTTCTTTAGGCAATTGCTTCTGCTATTATTCGTAACTTTGTTTTTCTCTGGACCTAGAAAAACGTTTTGAAATTCATTCAGTTAGGGTCCCTACTCAAGGCTGTCATCACCTCTAACCCTGAAGGAAGGGAAGTAAAGTTACTAAAACCTAGAAGGGAAGAAAAGACTGCCTGGAGAGGAGCTGTGTCCCTTGATACAGCCAGTCAGAGGTGAAAGTGAGAGGACTGGAAGAGAAATATATTAAGCTCATTTTCTTCTCTTCCTCCAATGTGCATAAAGAAGGGTGGAGAGTGGTTCTGAAGGGCAAACGGAAGACATCCAATTCAGGAATAAATTAGCTTGGTGTTTACATTTCAATTCTGTTTTAGTTTAATGTGTTCTTTGAAATAGTAAGGAACACCTTCTCTTTTTAGTAAATATTGTGGATTTGGCAGAGTCAGTCATTCCTTTTAACTGTGAAAGAGCCCAATGATTTAAGAAGCATTGTTTTAAAATATTATGATTCTGGGAATTCTCTGATAAAGTTGGTCCTTTTAGAATCATTTATTTTCCTGAAACAGAAACTTTTTCCTTAGAATGGCAGTTGCTTTTATCAAAACAAATTAATTTTGGTCTTGAACAATAAAATTATCAGCTCTTGATGGGATGGTTTTCTAAGTCCAGAAGGTTTAGAAGAAATCGGTTAGGAAAAGATAGATGGTTTTAACTAGAATAACAGAACGAAAGAAAAACAACGAAGTGCATATTAAAACTAGAAAAAAAGCCATTTTAGTTAAGAAATTGTTGGAGGGTGTTGGCAAAATTGGAACTACTCGCATTGTAGTAATAATGTTTATTGATGCTTCCTTTGAATGAAGGCATGGCTTCAAAATAGGAACTGTGCTTCTGTCACCTGTTTTCTCTATCCCTCAGAAGGAATAGGAGTATGTTCTATGTCAGGGTTTTTTTCTATGGAGTGTCTGAGGTATTTTCATAACCCTTTCAGTATAATTATGGAAATTGAAGTATGGGGCAACTCTTGCTAGTTTTGGGTTTTTTTTGTTTTGTTTTGTTTTGGTTTTTTTGATAATTTCTCTGTCATTCTTGGGAGAGTTGATTTGGGAGTTAACGGTTATTTTAAACGTAAGAAACATAAGATTTAAAACATAAGAAAACAATAAGCTATTGATCAGAAGTGACTAAATATGGTTTTTATTTTTCCAGGACAGATGGGAGTTTTGTGGTTCATGATATACCTTCTGGGTCTTATGTCGTGGAAGTTATATCTCCTGCTTACAGGTTTGATCCCGTCCGAGTGGATATCACTTCAAAAGGAAAAATGAGGTGCGAGCACTTGATTCAATTTTTGCCAAAGTTTAGCCTACTGAATACTTTATTATATATTCCTTTTAGAATTTATAGTTAAGGTTGAAAAGTTTTTAATTTAAACTTGCAGGTAACCCTTAAAACATTTAAAATATTTAGAAATTTCCATAGTTTTTCCTTTCTGGAATGTTTAGTATGCAATAGAAATTTAGTATTTTTTTGGAAAACAATAGATTGCATTGTGAGGCTCATGATAAGAAAAAGAAAAAGAAAAGCACAGTATTAGAAGCTGGAAGACTAGGAAAAAATTTCAGAATTTCTAAGTACATGAACACGTGCTTTGAAGTTGGGGTGAAAAGAATTTTGGACTAATTCAGGCTGTGAGTATGGAATACCACAAACCCATTTACCATTGGAACTGGTTGGGTAGGTGTCCACAGTGTTCAGATTCAGCCTTTTATTATAACCCCCAACTTACTTATTATTATTTTTAAAAGATTTTATTGGGTAATTGGGTAAGGGGAACAGTGTTGGGGAATTGGGGAAGGGGAACAGACAAGTTGTTGTCCTTCAGTCTTAGTTGTGGAGGGTGCAGCTAGCTCAGCTCCAAGTCTAGTCGCCACCCAGCCACCCATTGGCAGCTCAGCGACAGCTCAGCTCGGGTGCAGCTTACTGGCCCATGTGGAAATCAAACTGGTGACCCTGTTGCTCAGAGCTCGAGCTCTTAACCAACTGAGCCACTTGGCTGGCCCCCCAACTTAGTTATTTTTTATTGTGGCCTGCTAATAGTTATTTGTTGTGGTCTAATCTGACCAGGAAGTATACGAAACAATTTTATTTATTTGTTTTTTTCTAGCTTTATTGAGGTATAATGAGCAAATATGAAACAGTTTTAACTGGTAATGTATCTTCTTTGTTTGAGCCGTCACAAAATTATGCCGTATTGCTGTAATAAAGCATGGGTCATGCAAAGGCAAAAATAATTTTGGGATTGGAGGAGCTGTATGTTATTACTGACCTTTTCGGTACGTGCCAAGCCTATTTCGGTTGATGTGTAGGTGCTCCAGATTAAGCTGATAATAGAGATATGTTCAGTTAGTCCCATAATACGTATAGTTGAGTTAGTATTTACTCCTAAGATGTTTTCCTTTTTTCTTTCTTTTTTTTTTAACATTGGAAGTTTTTAAAGTGTAATGCTTATGTAAATATGCTATAATTCAAATACAGTAACACATACAGCTGTCTCATCCTTTATATCAGCTGTATATTTTCCAAATGATGGATTTGCCATCATTTTTATAACCAGCTCCTACTGATGGACAGATAGGGTTTTCTTCTCTTTTAGCACAAATAGTGAACAGAGACAGTTATTCTGTGGTAATTTAAGTTATTAATATTATCATGAAACCAATATCATGATGGACTAAAAATACTCATATATTTTTTAGAAACACATTACTTTTCCCCTCTTTTTTTTTTTTTTTTTTTTTAAAGACTTTTATTTGGGAATTGGTGGATGGGAACAGCGCTGGGGAATTGGGAAAAGGGGAACAGACAAGTTGCTGTCCTTTTGTTCTTCAGTATAGTTGTGGAGGACGTTGCTTCACTGGCCCAAGTTGGCACCATCATTGCGCTCTTCCCGGTCGAGGCAGATCAGTC